GTACAAAGTTGAATTAATGAAGTCAATTGTTTAGGAAGTCTCTGTGGTTAGCTTGATTTGAATATGTTAACTCTTTGATGTGGTACATCTTGATCTTAGGTACGATGGAACAAAGTAAATTCTAAAGTTATTACATGAACTGATCAAATAAATTCTAATTACTAAATTAAATCATACTGTATTAATTTCTAGGAACTAATTTAAGAAAATGTGGCACATACACATTATGGATGGAAGAATTTTTATTTATTTATTTTTTTCACGAGAATTAATTGAAGCAGTGATTTATTGTATAATTAAATAAATGTTTCTTGGATGAAGATGTCTTACACTTAACAATATAGACATATTTAATAAAACTTAAGTAATAAACTTATTAATTTAAATATATAAGTGTAGAAAATTGTACAAGTTTTAATACTTTAAAATAGATAAATTATATTCATTATATTAATTTAAATAGAACACAATGTACCCTAACATTATGTTAAAATTACATTTAACAAAGCAACAAACTCAATTATGATTTCCTCCATTTATTATCTCATATACTTGTATATATGTACTACAATACTCCGTAATTAAAACTGTTTTATTTTAGATAATGTATCTTCCCATAAATGTTTGGAATAAAATTTAATTAAGTAATCAAATAAGCCAATGTACATGCATGCATAACAGAAATACAAGGTTAAATTAAAACAAGTTTATTAATTAAACAAGTGCATAAGAATATTGAAAGAAACAATAATAATAGAGCAAGGTACAAGTTATATAAGGTGATATATAGATAGTACAAGATGTAGGGCTAAAGAATAAGATGGGCATATAATTTAGGTGTAGAAATGTCCCACCAAATTAAAAGCTAAGAAAAATAATTTTATAACACATTTAATATTCATAATTTTATCATAACTCCAAATTAAGCAATTTGTTTTTATTATTTTGGGAGGTTCACAATTTTCATACAAAAAAAAAATTTGTAACAATTTTCATACTCTCTATTTTTTCCCCTGAAAAAAAAAGAGCCCACATGTTCCCACCAGAAGGGAATAAAGCAACATTGAATGAGACGAATTGAGGGGTTGCAACACTTACTATCTTAACCCCTTATTATTTTTTTTGTGTGTTTGAGATCATTTTTCCAGACAGTTATTACAATGGCGTAGACTTTCCCCAACATTTTATGTGTCTTGTTTCTGCCCACATATTTTCTCCTTTCGCCCTCTTTTCCCTACGATGGAATCTTTCCCTTTTCTCTCTCCTCGCGCTTTTGTCTTTTGCTCCATTTCTCGTTTTTCTTTGCCTGAACGAGCTAATAAGCCACAAGGGTATTACAAATTTGCACCTGTAATAACAAACCTATATTATACACGTAACACGTACACCCTTAATATAATCATGTGTTAGTGTGTTACTAATGTATCATGTATGCCTTAAGTTTTATATCATGGTGCTTGCACTACTTTTTGGATTTATGAAAACTATAGTTTATAATTATTTTATGAACATGCCCATAATGGATAAAATGCATGCAGATGAAATGAAATGCAACTTATAGATAGTTGGGAATTCTGTAAATCTGCACGTTATGAAGGTCCATGATGATGAGACTAGACTAAGACTAAGACTATTCCATTAAAATAGGAACTGTAACTAGCTAACACAGTAATGTACACAGTAATTGGCGTGGTGTTACTAGATTTGACTTGTCACACCACGTCTAACATCTACATTCCATTTTAAAACTTTGGGTTAATGTTTATATATATTTGCATTTATATCGGATAGTTTTAGTAATGATCATGATGTTTCTAAGATATTATAGTTCTACTTATTAGAGTTCATTTCATTGTCTATCTATAAGAGTATCCTTGTTTTTGTACCTCTTCTAGCTTAGACCAATTGGAGATATGATAGAGTCGGATCTTGTGATTAATTATTGAATTGATGTTTAAGTAATGACTTGTTGGGACATCATAACTAGTTTTGCACTCATAATGATTATGGAAACAAACTAATTATTAGAAATGGCAAAACTACTTTCTATAGTTTTGAAACACATTCAATATATAGTATTTTTATTTATCAAAAGTTAAAACCTCTAAACTCGCAACAGTAACAAATATAATATGTTCTAAAAGAGCGGAGTTAAATGGATCAAATTACACTTTTACGAATCGTGATTGGTTACAGGATTACAACACTATCCTATAATGGATTGCATTGGATAGAAAGGCTATAGTTTATTAGCAGCTAGAGTAGCTTGTTATAAACAAGAAATGTTCACCTTAATAGCTTATAACTACTGCCACACCACAAGCAAAAAGCCAATATGGTTTGGCCAGGTAGTGTAGATTATATAGCTCTTAGAAACTTTCTATCATAAACATTCAAATCAATCTTATTAAGAGCCACTAATTAACCTAATTTATCACTTAATCAATCAATAGTTAGTAGTTAATTTGCTGCAGAAAATAACAAGGAAATGCTTTAAGATAACCAACAACTCAAACTAGCCTATTTATCAAGTTCATGATATAAGGATACAAATGGAAAATGGTGAATGACAATCAGAAAATATATATATAGCATCCTTATATAATAATGTCTCAAAATATGAAACATACCAATGAAATTTTCGAATTATAATGGCATGTTTGGTAGGTTGTCTCTTCCATCTCATAGACTCATACATATATATCCATTTAGTTTTAAGGAATCCTTTTTTGAAAATATGAAAGAATAAAACTTATAGGCTCAATCTTTTTCATTCTTAGGTTCTTCTTTTAACTCCTCTCTCTATCTTTACCTTTATTTTATACTCAAATGCAAGTGTATATGTTTTCTCTTTTCTCCAACAACATTGTAAGTTTAGTAAGTGAGGTACTTGATACATCAGCCTCCTTGTTTCTTCATTATCAAACACTTGTTGCTGGTGAATAAGTAACATGCTTACATTCATCATTTAAAGTTACTCCTTTTTTACTCCTTTTCATTCAAGGGTCCCTTAAACTCCATGATTCATACCTTAACAACACCGAAATTATGAACATCATTTCCATTTTTATGACTATGTACTATTTAGATTAACTCGACTCCATAAGTCCTTAATTAGAATGTAAGTCTCTTTAATTTTATGGTGATGATTTGAACTCAAAGTGACAGCGCAAAGAGGTTTCACCATAATCTTGACCGTTCATTAAGCGTATATATGAAGATGTTCAAGTAAAAGTAACTGGAGGTATCATCATATTCTTGATTGCAGCCTTCATCCAGCACGAATTAGAATATTGAAACTCGGATGAAAATTTGATTTTAAGTCGTGGTATCACATTACATTATAAACTTCTAAACTGCAATCAATTGAATTGAATCGCGTAATTAGGGTACATCTTAATCAATTATGTCTTAATCTAGTTTGTAAGAACGGTATATGGCTATATATTAGCTAGGTTGCATGTTTGAATCTCTTTTCACCATGTATATCTAGCACTTGCATGCACCTCTTCCCCTTCCCATTATAGTATATTTCCTTTGATCAAAACACTTCTACAAGTCATTTAGGTTATGTAATAATCAAATATTTCCTTCTTATATAACCTAATAATAAGAACAACCATCTTTTAAGTAACTTCATGAACCACATTATTCATCAAATGTCATTCAAATCATAATCTTGTATTGTTGAACTTGCTATGTATTTTAACTACAAGTTTCAGCACTCTCATTATTTTACATTCATGTTCTTCATCAAAATCCCAATATAGCTTTGAAGATTAGCATAAGTAAAAAACATGGCCTCATCATCTACTCAATGCTATACACTTTCTAGATTCAGCAAACCAATTTTTTCACTAGATGAGCTCAAAAGACATGGCCTCAAGATTTAATATTCCAAAAACAACCCCATATTAATCTATGAACATATGTCAAAAGATACCATTGAGATCGGACAATTACCAATCCCAGAGATTGATTTATCACTACTCGAATAAACGGGGCCGGGTAGGAGGGGTAGAAGCAAAGTAACACAGCTGAAGAAAGCAGAAGTGAAAGGCATACAAACAAAGGCTGAAAGTGGGATTGCAGGAGGAAGTATTGAGGCAAAACAGAAAAGAAAAGAAAGATAATTAATGAGAGTTAAACCAAACAAGTAACGGGCGTAGAAATGAAGCAACCAAACACAAGAGCAAATGTGCTCTTTCCCTAAATTCAGTAGTAGTTGAATACTTGATTTACTCAAACCCCTTCAGTTTTTATTTATTTTTTTGGCCTTACTAGTTAATATATATTACCTCAGGATGTATGTCCACACCAAATCCTTGGTTCAATGGTTCACTCCTCGAACCCCCCTAACGAGCATAAAAATAGCCATGGTTCAATAGTACCCCGTTTGAATAACGCCTCGATCCACTTACTCTCCCAAAAAAAAAAAACTTAAAGAAACTAATCTCAAAGCCTAGAAAAAAGAAGGAATAAAGTTGAAGTATCTTTACTTAGCCAATGAAATGAAGAGCAACAAAAACCGTGACCTGAAATTAAAATTAAGGGATAAATAGCAAGAAGTAGTAAAAATTAGTACTAGGAATAATATTAAGATGAAAGAAGATAAAGCTAGAGATGGGGCAAAAGAAAGGAGAAGATGACAGATGTTAATGAGAACAAAATAAAAACCAGCACCATGTTTGGTTTGCATGCTAAACACGTTTGATTCTAGTTGGAAGTGTTTGATTCATTGATGATAAGAAAATTTGATGATAATGTACTATTAGATGAGCATGATATCATATGATCTCACCTTCCCTCATTAATACTACTACTAGTATTACCTTAACAACTTGGGTTGTACACAAATTAAGGCATATCATATCCCTTCCCCAAAAATATTTAATTTTACTTCCTAGTACTTGTTTCGTTTTAAGACTAGACTTATCATGACAATTGTGTGATCGATATTTATCTACAACGATAATAATTCACTAAATACCGTGTTCTAGCTAGGGCTACGATTTCTCCATGACAATTCGAGTTTCTTTAGTAATATCGACTTGATTGTCTATAAGAATTGAACAAAAATCGTAAGTTAAAAGGTGGAAGAATTCGAAAATGATGATGATAATAGTAGTGTAACACCAAAGGAAATTAAAGCCAACAAATAATTGTAAATAACAAGAGAAATGGAGAATGAGCAATTGCTCAATAATGTCAAATATGATATTAATAAAAATTTAAGAATAATCAACTCAATCTCAAAATTCCTCATCCTAAAAGCTAGCAGCAGCACCATGAAGAAGCTAAGTACATCATCATCAACGTCCTAAAGAGAGAAAAACATGAGAAAGAGAGAGTTTAATTAAAACCCTAAAATTAAAAACCTCTAAATTACTAACCACAATGACACAACCAACAAAACACAAGAATAATAATAATAATAATAATAATAATACTACTAAAAATAGAAATTATTAATTAATAGCTAATAATAGTAGTAGTAATAATTTAACTAGCTTAGCTTAGCTTAGTTTTAGTACGAGTAAAATTTATACTCTATACTTTACTTATTTGAATTAATAATAATAATAGTTTTAGGTAATGATATGATAAGTTGATATAATTTTAGGGCTTTTTACCAAGAGTATGCTTGTTGTTATGCATCCAAACTTTGAGCACTTGAGGCGTAACTTGAACTTCAGCACAGAATTGTTGTACAGCAGCTTCATCATGTTTTTGAATCCTCCAACCCAATTTCTCAGCAAATGCAAGCATCTTATCCTTTTGTTCTTGACTAAATTTTGTTCTGTGTCTTTTTTTCGGTACCATCATCATTGCACTTCCTCCACCACCTACACCTCCACTACCGCTTTCCCGCCTCCCCTCGCCTCCGCTGCTACTCGGGTGGGACATGTCATCCCCCATGTCCCCGCTATGTGTCCCACCCGATGTTGACGGTAGCACAGCGAGGGGCCGGTAGTGGTGGTGATACCCGGACCCCGGAGGCGGCGGGGTCCGGTAATACCCCGAGAATTGCGGGTACATTGTACCCGCAGGTGGTGGGGGTGCCACCGCAGGGGACGGGCCCGTGTTCGGCGATGTTATATTATCGCCGCTGATGTCGGTCTCCTTGCGGTGGAAATTACGGTGGCAATTGCAGGCTGCGCACTTGAGCGCGTCTAGAGTGCCTTCCTCGCCTGCCGCCATGAACTCGCCGCAGCCGTCCACGGCGTGGCCACCGATGTTAACAGCGTGGTTCTTTAAGCATTCTCTGTACCTTACAACAACGGATCTTCTCTCTCCTCCACCTCCACTCGCTGAGCTAACTCGGGGTCGACTCGGTGCAGAATTACCACCACTACCCCCAATTGGGTCATAACTCGGTGGGACTACTACAGCTGCAGTTGGGGGTGGTATGGTAATTTCCTCTTCGTCTTCTTCTTCCTCTTCTTGCTCTTCATCGTGCTCATCTTCGAACTCCATCTTTTTTTTTTCTTTTTTTTTTATCTAGTAAAAAAAATAAAAATAAAAAAAGGGAAAAAGGGTTGTTCTAAATTCCTAAATTAATTGCACAGAAGATCTGGGTTTTGGGAGTTGATGATGATGGAATTTGGTCGGAGAGAGAAAAATAAAAAAGGTTTTGGTTTTTTTTTTTTTTTTTTTTTTTGACCCTCTATTATTTTTTAAAAAATGGGTAAAATAAAATACAGAAAGTAGAACAAAGCTATTTAGAGGAGAGAGAAAGAAAAAGAGGGGTTTAATCTTAAAAAAGAGAGAGAAGGGGGTTTAAGTGAGGGTAGGAAGAAGATAAGAGAGGATTGGGAGAAGAGATGAGTGTTTGAAAGAGAGAGGAAGAGAGAGAATGAGAGTGTGGACATCAATTACCCGATCTGCTGCCAAATTTTTTTAAAATAAAAAAGGAAAGTATGTCCTACTTTCATTTCACATATCCCCTCATTTTGCTTTTCATTTCTCTCTAATTTCTAATTTTCTCCACCCATTTCTAATTTCACTCAATTACTCCGTTTTCTATCCCAATTCCAAGTTACAGAGTTTCACTTGCGATCTGTGTCAGAGTAATGGTTACACTTTTATAAGTTTTAAAGTACTCCGTAATGGTTACAGACTGAGTCTAATCATGATGTAAAATTGTGCAAAATGAACCTTTAGTAATGTTTTTATTGTTGGAAAAACATGGTGGGGCAATAAAAACATGGCGGGGCACAACATGACTCAACACGATATGCACATAGATCATCTTTGATATAACTAGCTAGTCTTTGTTATAGGAATATCGTGTGGTGTGTAGTGCTAACTCTCTATTTCAAAGTAATGGTTACACTTTCTAATTTTCACTCAGTTACTCCTCGTTCTATCCTAACTCGAAGTTACAGAGTTTTGTCTTTGATCTATTTCAAAGTAATGGCTACACTTTTACAAGCTTTTTAGAGTAATGGTTACACTTTACAATAGGTAAAAATGGAGTTGATCGAGTCTGGTCATGGTGTAAAATCATGCATGATGAACCAGCTCTATGCAATGTTGTATGATTAGAAAAGCCTAGCGGGGTACAACATGGTTCAACACAACATGCACATGGGTCATCTTTGATATAACAAGCCATTTGTTATTAGCATTATGTCGTGTGGTGTATGGTGTCAACCCTCTAACGTGTCAATAGACTTGTTATCTTAAGAACTTTAATAGCAAGTTTATTTTATACGACATATATAACCGTTCCATTTTTTTATAAAAAAAAAAAAAGCAAAAAGAAACAAGAAATATAGCAACATATAATCACTTAGCTTTATCAAATTTTCCCTTGGTTATTAAGTTATGTTAGCATCTTCTATGAAAAAACGAAAAAAAACAAAAAGGTAAAAGATATTAGTATGAGTGAATGGGTGTAAAATATAACTTGATTTTATATAAAAATCAGAGACAAGAAAACCTTACTAAGAAGAGAATGTTCATATTTTTGTAAAGCATCCAAAATGAAAGAGGGAGTAATATGATAGTGTTGTGTCTCAACAACTTAGTCAATTGCCCCCTTTTCCCTTACATGTGTATTGCTATTCAACTCTCATTTGTCTCATAATATATGCCTCTATGCCATTTTCATGTTTTTAAATTTGTGGTATCAACACGTCCTTATTATAAATATTTTATCTTGAATCATTTTGTTTTTTAACTAAAAATGTATGCCCATATGAACAATGGATATGGAAGAGTCGCTATACTATTGAATTCCAAGTATGTAGTGGTTGTAACAAGTCTTCATAATGCTTTGGATTAGCCAATGTACCATGTGTACGTATGGGATAAAATGATGTATTTCATTCTCTTGATTTTTATTTATTCTAAAGTTTAACAAAACTAGATTGAACTTATTTTAAATTATAAATTAAACCTGGGTAATCTCATATAACCCCGGCCCTTATATAAATAAATTTATTATTCTCAAATTAAATAAAAATAAGATGAACTAAACATGGTTTCATCAATGACCGCCAATTGATGAATTTCAAACTTATATATATATATATATATATATATATATATATATATATATATATATATATATATATATATATATATATATATATATATATATATATATATATATATATATATATCATTGCATAAATATGATTTACAAAGTTATTCTTGGTTCTTATTGCATAGTTTTCACTTTGCTTATCTAAGCATCAATATTTTAAAACAACGCATTATATATTTACAAGTGGATTATGTTTATGAAAGATAACACTCAGAAACTCATCAATTACCGCATTGTTTGTTGTTCTTAGTGTACTATCCAAAATTTCCTATTCTTCAATAGAAAATATCAAATCGAAGTTGTACAATTTTTTATTTTTTTTATTCGACTTTAAGTATTGAAAGGGACATATAGCATGGGCAATGTACCAATATGTATGATCAAGTAACAAATTAAAAGACTTTATCTTTGACGATAATTTCATGGACATCATAAAAAGGGTGTGTAGAATTAAGTTTTCATATAACCTTACTAATTTAGAGGCACCAAAATCCAAAAAATCAACTTTCTCAGGATCAGATTATTTGTGCCTCTTAATTAGGATGATATACTCACGGTTTACACTAATATATTGAGAAATTGTCTTTAAAATCGCTGAATATTTGTAATGCCTACCATTTTTATTTTATTTTTACCGTTTCTATATATTTGATACTAATAACGTGTCACATTTATTATATTTGGTCCAACTATATCTCATGTGTGATTTGACCATACATTAATTTTTATCATTGTACGATTTGTACCACAATATACCTTAAGATTTCATAGATATGATTAGTGGTTGTTTGGTTGAATATTTAATTCAAAATACCATATCCTATGTGATATTTCTTGCTCATGAATTCCTAGTTTATAGAAATAGTTTTTAAGTCAATGGTTAATTAAATTTGACCATTTAAATAAAATATGGTGGATTATTTAGGGGAGAACTTTGTGAACTAGCTCCTTCCCGAAATGTTGTATTTACGTCAGATACATATGCATAAGCACCAAGTGTATCAGATAGAGGAATTTTATTAATTATTTTATTTGATTAATACAAATATGCGCACATATATAAAAATTTCAACAAAATTCTTTCTATGTAACGGATTTTTTTGGAATTAAAATATTGCCAAATTCATACAGTTGTAGAAAGATCAGGTTTTTAGCATTTTCTATTTTCACACATTACCAGGTTTTTAGCATTTCTAAGCTTGATCAAAGTCAATTATTACAAACAATTGAAAGACACAAATCAGTGTTCAGTTTCTGCCAACGTGATTTTTTAATTCTGATTTTTTTTTTTAATTTTATTTTAATAGAAAAGGAAAAAAAAAAACTAAAAAAAAAAAGTCATTGTAAATGTTTGCTATGTGGAGACACACCAAAATTGAATTGGTAGTTACAAACAAACTTTAATTTTTAGAAAAAGATATATTATACGGATTTGCTAAAAATGGAAATAATTGACAAATAAATAAACATTTATTACATCGATTTATTCATGAATTGTTGATAAATTCCCAACTTAATACTATAAAAGAAATTATATTAATATAGCATTATGAAATCCTTCTAGTCAAGGCCCATGCTTAATCTAATTTGCTATCTTCAATGAATAATTGCAAATAAAAGTGCGATATTATTTTACGTCCTAATTATCTCAATTAGGGCCTGTTTTGATTGACTGAAGTGAGCTGAACTGAACTGAATAGAGCTTATTAAAGTTGAACTGAACTGAATTGAACTTATTAGAGCTTAACTAAACCAAACTGAACTTATTAGAGCTAAAATGAACTGAATATTTTATAAGAGAAGGAAATTAGGAGCTGAACTGAACTGAACTTATTAGAGCTGAAATGAACTTATTAGAACTGAACTTATTAGAGTTGAATTGAACTTATTAGAGTTGAACTAAACTGAACAGAAAATAATCGTATCAGAACAGGCCCTTAGTAGATTGATTCATTTACAAGTAATAACATGACATTTTTCTTAGACAAGCAAAGCAAGAAAGATTCATTCATTCGAGATGGGAAACATATCCATAAGGGCTATCATATCACAAAGTTGACCATCATCCTATTAAAATCCAACTAAAAATCCGACATAGATACATGTGCATAATGTGACAAGTTTTCATTACGTACATATAGTCTTATTTGATTCTAATAATACTCCGTGTAAAATATACAATTCACAAGATAATTAAAATTGAGTTTAAATAAAGAGGTAGTCGGAAACAAAACAATAATTTTCTTACATGTTGAATAAGAAATGTATAAAAATTACATGGTGAAGAAATGAACAATAATTTAGGGTGAGAAAATCATAGTCCAAAATCGACAAGGCAAATCTAAGTATATCATTATACATGTGCATAGTTAGTAATTGTTATGATGAGATAAGCTTAACAAAAAATGAACAACTTGGGTTTGGAGAAATTCTTTGCAAGTCACCACTTATTATTACACATGCACATGCATTTACCGGCAGCTTACTAGTTGCTTCGCTTCTCATTTTCATGTTTGTTTGTGTTATTGTTCATGTGTGTCCTACTGTCCCTTTAACAATTTTTGGTCCTTTTTCTTTCTTCATTAATAAATGGGCACTTTAAGAAAAGTTTTGTAGGATAAACATGCAATTAAATTATTAGTTATACCCATTATTTATGAGCCATTGTTTATTAATAGCATGCCATAAAATTGAATTTCTTGTCTTGTGTTATTAAGAAAGTTATTGCATGACAATCATCCTAATTAAGTAATACAAGTACACAAATCTCTTAGAGGACGGAATGGAGTGGCAATTGGGTCAATGCTGGGTTTATTGCATGGGGCAATTTCAGGTAGAGTACATGATATAATAATAATTGGGTCAAAGTGAGTTGAATTCGGACGTTAGGATATACAATGCATGTTAGCAAGGCAAGTTTGAATCTCACCAACTACATTTGTTTGGGATTAAGGAGGATTTACCCCTTCCTCCCACTCTCAAGCATTTACCCGCGAAGTTGGGTTGACTGAACATACATCCTGTAAAAGGTGTTGGTTCAATAGGGTCTTCGTCTTACCTTATAAAGAATACCGATAAATAAAAGCATCAACATTGGTCAAATTCACTCCATTAGACTTGTCTTGTTATTTTACCAAAATCTATTCCAAGATATAACAAATGAAGAGAAATAAAAGACGTCAAATTGTGAATTTAATACTACTAGTGTTGATGTGCTCCATACAAGTATACAACTCCTTCTCTCAATCAAATAGACAAAAAGTACAATATTATGGTAAAATCGATGACAATATACTAATGTACATGTGGAAATTGTGTGACAATTATATTGACAATAATGCTAAGTTTTTGGGGATCGGAGGAAGATCTTACAACTTACTCGTACAACATACCCATCGTGTCAAGAGTCTT